TAATAAATATATTTATATATATGTATGTATATATATATAGATATATATGTGTATAATGTATATGCGTGTGTTGTATATATAACTACGATATTATTTTTTGTATGCTTAATTTTGTTTTTGGTTTGGCAAAAATTKTTCAACTTCTCTTTGACATCCACTTTATTCGCTATTTTCTACTCGTACACGCATTTTCGTTAGCGGTATTTCAGTTCTTCTAAATTTTGTGATAATAATAATAATATTTTTTTTTTGGATTTTTGCATATACATAAATATATTTATGCATATTGTTTTTTGTTTAAATTTTTAATAACATTATTTATTACACACTTTATCGGCATGTTGTTTTTCATTGACATCACGAAAAAAATTGAATTCCACTTGTATGCTTAGATTTGCTCGCGTGTGTTGTTGAGCTTCGGTAAAAGCTTGTGCTTGKTTTTGGATCGGTTTGCCTGGTTAGTTGATAGGAAGCTGGATTTACATCATCGGGTAAGACATTTTAATTGGTTTAGTGGCTTTGAGTTTGTTGATAAACTGTTCTTTGATCTATAAAGAAATAGTAAAGCGTATTATAAGTATATGTTTGACCAATCTCGCGTTTAGTGCAATAACACCATAATAATATGTTTGGATCCTGCATTTTTAATCAAAACTTTTGTAGTTCACTCATTAAATGAAAGCTTGCTGTAATTTGTGATAAAGATTTTTGCAGCTCATCAGGTGAAAGTTTCAGTAGCTTGTTGTGAGAGCTTTTGTAGCTCAATAAGTGAAGCTTTCTATAGCTTAGAATGGAAGCTTATTTTAGCTCATTGGGCAAACAGTTTCTATTCTGTAGTATGTAATGAAAACTTTTTGTAGTTCACAAGTTCACAAGGCTTAGTTGGTAGCAACATTTTTTTGGAGCTCACAATATGAAAACTAACCGTACTTGTAATGAAAGCCTTTTATAGCTCAATTGTAAGCTTTTTTTTATCGCTCATTGTGCGAACGCTCTCTATAGCTTATAATGAAAGCTTTTTACAGCTCACTAAGGGAAAGCCTTGAACGCTTGTAATGAAAGATTTTTACAGCTCGTTAGGTGAAAGCTTTCCGTAGCTTGTTATGGGAGCTTATTGAAGCTCATTAAGTAAAAATTTTCTATAGCATAGAATGGACGCTTTTTATAGCTCAAGTCTAAGMTTTTTTTAATAGATGATTGGGAGAACGGTTTCTGTGGCTTATAATGAAAATTTTTTGTAGGTCATCAGGTGAAAACCTGCATTAATTTTTAATGGAAGCCTTGAAAGTATTCTGTAACTTGAATTAAAGCTGTTTCACTTGACGAAAGCTTTCGTAGCTTGTAGTGAAAGTTTTAAAAGCTCAAGTGTTAGCTTTTTGCAGCTTGTAATACAAAAAAAAGTTGCAGGCATTTGTGCCTAAAAATTTACTCAATTCAAGCTTAGTCCGTGATATAGGCACAAATTCACGCCAATGAAGCAGCAGTGCATAGACTTGAAAAATATGTAAAAAATATTATGAGTGCTGAAGTTACGCTTATTTTTTATTGAAAGCTCTGACTTACTCCAGTTATTTTATTATTTTTATACAATTTTTTTATAATATATGAAYATTGACTGTTTTTTTTTATCATTTACCTTATAAATTTTGCACGTAGTTTGTTTTCTATGGGCTTGCACTGGGATATTCATTATTGTAAACTTGCACATATGTTGCTTGGTGAATTTATTTTGCGGAATCAGTATTTGTATTCAGTTTATTGGAATCTATTGACTACTTTACTGCGACTTTTTTTTCTTTTGCTGCTGGCTGTTACTGCCGCTGACTGTTGTTATATGTAGAGGCTTACTTGCTGCGCTTTTACTTTTAGTTTTGTTTMATTTTTTTTTGTTCTATTTGAAAATAGATTTTTTTGTTATATATTTGTGTATATTTTTTTGTTGCTCTTGGAATTACTGTTTCATCATTATTTTCGAAAGAAGTAATCGTTTGTAATTGTTAATGTTGTTTAACGCTTTAAGGAACTCCGATTGTTAATAGGGTCGGCTGGCATCCTTTGGCCGCTTCAGTTGAACTTTCAGTCTTTTCATGCCAATCTGGAAACCATTCATTGCCTGAATGGCCGCTTGAGCGCTGGCAGGATTATCGAATGAAACAAAACCTATGGAAAAAAGTGTGTAACATAATCAGTGAAAACAAAAAAATTAGAATGCCAGTTGTGTATGCTTGTGTGCGTGTGTATGGTGGTGCTTACCAAAACATTTACTCTGATTTGTAGCGCGATCAATGAAGACCTTTGAACTGATCACATTACCAAATGGCAGGAACATCTGCATCAATTCCGCATCGCCGAATTCTTGCGGCAAATGATATATGAATAGATTACATCCCTCCGGTCCCGAAATCGAACATCCTGGGAACATCAGAAAATCTTAAAGAAGACATTACAAGAAAAAGAAAAGAAAGAAAGAAATAAACGATGAGAAAATCAAAAGTGAAAAATCTATGAATTTGTGATTTGTGATGCTGCGACTTAAATTGAAAACAGATCAAATGAACATAAAATGCAATTAAACTGAAATACCGAATAATAGAATATCTGTAATATTACAAACATATGTAAGTGTATATGAATATAATATGAAATTACGATTTTCCCTGTTATCTGGTACCAATTTAAAGTAAGAAAAAATAATCTTTTTACATACATACATTAGATATGCGTAAAAATATGCGAGATATATCTCATCAATAAAACATAAGTATATAGTATCGGAAAACAAAACTATATATAAGAATAAATAGTCAATATTTATTAAATTAACTATTCGCGATGCAGTGTTGTTTTAAGAAGCTTTAAGAACTATGGGGTGTATGCTGTGCTACGCAGTGATAGTCGTGAAAGCTTTAACGAAAGCTCAGGCGGAATATTTTTGATATCGAATAAATAATAATAAAATAGTCTTTTATTGATATTTATGAAAGCTTTAAAGAGCTTTGCTTAGAAAGTTTAAATAATTTTTAATTTACATTGAAACGCTTAACGTTTGATCTAAGATTTAAAAGAAATGTGGAATGTTGTTTGTAGGATTTACTGTAAAAAAATAGTAATTTGATGAAAACAGTATTTCCGAAACACTTGGCAAAAAAGCTCTTTATAACTTATTTCATTGTAAAAAGTCAGTTACACGTGCTTTGAAATTGTATTAATTGATTTAAACACTTTGATAAGACCTCTGTTTGTTGAAACAAAAAAAAAAAAAAATATATAGAGCTTTCACTAAAAGCTTTCTTCAAAAATTATTTAAAAAATATAGCACTGAGAAGTTGGCGCTTTTATTAAAAGCTTGAATAAAAAGTTATAAATTTATATTTTAGAAAATTTAGTAGTGCGAAATTGCCGCTTTCATAAAAATGTAATATATTACATAATTCAAGTACAGTTACTCCCGTGAATTTACTTAACTCGAACCAAAAATGTAAAAATAGTTTCTTAGTAGAGTAGAGCTTTCATTAAAGGCTTCAAAAATGGTAATACAATTAAAAAAAAAAGAAAAATTAAGTAGGGAGAAATTGGCGCATTCATTGAAAGCTTTCGTAAAGAAATTATCAAAATAAAAATTAAAAAAAAATTAAGTTGAAGCTTTTATGAAAAGTTTTCACGAAAAACTATCAAATAAATTAAATAAAGTCACTCATGTATGTTAAATTTACATAATTCGAACGAAAATTGCTAAGATACTCGTATTTGTAAACTTTTTCATACTAACATTAAAGCTTTCACATTCGCAAGTTTAGATTTACAATAAATAATTTTTGTTATACCATAAAGCTAATTGCACAGCAGTTGTGCTACCTAAGTTATGAAAGAAAGCAAGAAAAGAAGSAAAAAAAAGTTAACTCAAAAGCTTTGTTCAATTAAATGTGGTGTTGCATACATGCATTGTGCTTGTATATTATAAAAAGAAAACAAAAAATAACGTTTTTCATAAAACTTAAAGTCTTACTTAATAACAAATTTTGCTAAGCCAAATTATTAATTCAAACATGCTTTTATAAAGCGCCATTAAATATTWACAATACAGTTACAATATCTTTGGTACGTCTATAAAATGCTTTTAACAATAGCTCTAGCAGCTTCTTAAGGATATTTTGTTGGCAGCTATACGATGGCCAACCATTTTTTTTKAATTCAATATTTCGCATTCAAATCCATTTTAAAACGTATGTTTATATGAATAACTGTTGATCTTGGCAATTCTATGGCTGTACAATACATTGGGGATTTAAATAAATTACTAAAAATAAATGGAAGCGTAACTTGTAAAGCAGGAAAATTTTTGTTGCACCCATAAACATGCAATATACACAATATAGCGATAATATACGATAAATGGTGTATAGAATATTGCTATAATAGATATTTTGTTTGTAGGTACATATATATATATATATATAAAGTTTAGTTATATGTGTATATGTATGTATAAATGGCTGCGCACATGGGCGTCTTAGTCTTAACGAAATCTTCATATACCTTTTGTTATGAAATGGTTGTGAAGTGTATGGTTTACTAGTATTTTCATGATAAAAAAATATTATAAAAAGTWTAATTTTTTTTAAATGCAACGTAAAGACTGGAGACTTCTGTGATGTTTCATTGAATGCTTACAATTTTATGCAATATTTATATAAGTCTATAGACACATATGGACACACATACTACAATTATATTTCTACATTGATATCATAAAAGCAGAAATATAAAAAAAATAATTTAAAAAAAAAATATGTTTATATAATTATAAAACAGCTTTTATTCCTGATTAAATAATAACATATATATCAACAATTATTTACAATTCATTAGAAAATAGTTAATCCGCGTACAGCAAAGCTCACAAATCATATAAAAGCAAGCCGGTAATAAAGAAAATCATCCGTAAATAAGTTACTATAAAATGAAAAAAATCAAGAATTAAATGAGTTGAAAATATATACAAACACAAAAACTAAATGGCTTATGCGCGTTTTTTACAATGCGCCCACTTTAATACATATTCTTCAGCCAATAAATATTACAGCACACAAATCAGTTGTTACTAACAAATTAGCRTTTTATGTGATTAAATGAAATAATTAAAAATAATAATAAAAATTTATTACAAAAAAAAAGAAGTATACATTTTTAAATAATGAAAAAAGAAAAATACTCAAACAAAAAACATTTACATGAAAAACTGCTTACCTTCACGTTGAGTGGGTGCAACCGCCGCTAGAGGTGGTGGTAAAGCTTGTGGAAATTGTCCATAAACGGCGGGAAAGGCTGCATTATATAAATAATTTTTGTTGTTGGTTTGTTGTTTTGGTTTTCGTTTTGTACACATACATAAATATAGATATAGATATATATAGAGTAATCGAAACATTTATGAGACAACACAACGTTTATATAATGTGTAATATATGTAATTGGGAGATGAAAAAATCAAACGAAACAAATGAAAAAAGAAACGGAAAAAGTAGAGAAAACACATTAAAATTGCACAATATTAAAATCAAAGTTAATCATATTAAACAATATTAATATACGTTTTGGCAACTATAGAAATATATATATTAATAGATATTGTGGTATAGTATATACGGTAATAACGCACAAAAAATTAATTATCATTTATATTGATATTACTTTTTATTTGTTCATAATCATTGTATTTATATGTGTTCGAAAGGTAGGTTAATACATTAAAGGGTAGTAAAAACAACAGTCACAGCTATGTAAGGCGAAAATTGAGAATTAAAAAAGAATTTTATATTTATCTGAGTATATATTACAATTACTTTTAGAAGAATTTTTTTCAAAAATACTTTCATTTCAATTTATAAAGCTTATAAATCTTAAGGGCAGTCAAATTTTTGAAAAGATTTTAAAGCAGTTTTGAAAAGCTTTGGAAATAAAGCTAAATTTTTTATCATTTTTTTTCCTAAAATTATATTTCTTGTTGCCAGTAAAGTTTTTAAAAAGCTTTTCAAGTAAAGCTCTGCAGTGTTGAAAACCTTTTGGAATAAAAAAGTATATCGTTTGTTTGTCTAAAATTTGTATTTTTTGTTGGCAGTAAAGTTTTTGAAAAGCTTTTAAAGTAAAGCTCAATATTTTATTAGATATAAGCTTTTAAAGCAGTTTTAAAGAGCTTTTGAAATTAAGTTAAATTGTTTATTAAAAGTATATCATTTGTATTACTAAARTTATATTTTAGTTAGTTTTTTATTTTATTTATTTAAATATTAAAAAGTGTTTGGTCGTAAATATATAAATTTTTTTTAAAGTTTTTTACGTGAAGCGCAACAGCTTTTAAGAAAAACTTCTGCATTTTTATTAAAAAATATTTCGTTTGTATTTGTAAATTTCAAGTTTTAAAAGCATCTGCAAGTAAAATTTTTTGAATACAGCTCTGCATTGACAGCGCAGTAGTTTTTAAAAGCTTTTGAAGTAAAGCTTAGTATGACATCTTTTACGATAATGTGCCATTCAAAAAGCTATTGAAGTAAGCAACAAAAGTCTCATATTTTTTAAAAGTTTTTGAAATAAAGCACATTGACCACATAGTGAAAGTCCTAAGCTCTCTTGCTGTCACTTTTAATGGGCCTTTCAAAAAACATTGTTTTAATGCGTGAAAGTCTTATAATATGTTTTATAAGTGATAGCTCTAATATGAAAGCTTGAGGCAAGATATGAAAAGTTTAGCGGCTCTTGAATATTTCGAAAATTTTCTAACATAATTTCATTGCCAATTTTTTTT